ATGAGTCTCTGCTAGCTCTGCTCTGCTTCATGCAAAGAAATATGGAAGAACCCAGATAGGACAGGGGGACTGGAAGGCTATTGACTGTGCTACTATTTTGAGTTATTGGGGGGACCAGTTATCCGTGTCTTGAGTCCAAAGTTCAGGTGATTAACTTCCAAGTTATGGCTGTTTTGCTCAACCTTTCTAAAGCAGTGAATGTAGCTGTTATCATTGCAGAGATTAATTAATACTGTTTGGATTGATCCAATCAGGAGTACGATTTATACAAATAGTGCTATTGCTTACTTGATCCATCCATGAAGTTTGGGCTTGTTAAGATGATTTGTGGTTCAGAGTGAGTGGTTCTGGTGGCCCCATTTGCCCTGTTTGGTCAATGGAGAAGTCTGTGGGCTGCTTATACACTAATCAATCCTTGGGGACATGAGGGAATGGCAATGGGGCCTGCAGCCAGGACTGTGGATCATGTATTTCAGTAAATCGGGTTGTTGAATTTGTTTTATTAAAAAACAAGTTCAACGGAGAGAGAGAGAGAGAAATCCAAAGATAACAGGCAACTTCTAATCCAGTGGTTGGTGCAAGTAGTCTAAAATCCTGGCTGTGAAATAGTTGGTATGTTCCATCAATTCGGGTTTAGGTCGATGTGCAATATGGGTAAGAGGTTCCGAGTTGACATGGCTGGTCTGAACAGATCAGAGTAGAATTTTAGATGGTATAACAAAAGAAAGAGAAGAAGGGAAAATATCAATTATGTCTGACGTCCTTTGATAAGTTCCAAAACAAACGGTCTCATTGGATTGTGGTTGCGGGTTCCAAGATCCATAAGACCATACGTGAGGGACCCGTCCTGTCGGATAGATGGATACTCGCATATAGCTCAAGTATTTTCCCTCACCTTCTGTTTTTCTTATTTTTTATCCAACCAAACAGAGTTTAAGGGATTACAAGGGCCCGTTTGGTTGGTGAGTATAGAGGTCTGAAATTAGAATCGGAATAGGTCTGAAATTAGAATCGGAATCCCATTTCCAGTCCTGCTGTAATGACATTCTCCCATTTGAGAGAATAGCCATTTCCTCTCCCTCCCTTGGAAATGAAATCCTATTTCAGACTATTCTAATTCCAACTCCTGAGTCTCGTTTGAGCCAAACATATTATGGTAATAGATTAGACCATTCTGATTCTGATTTCAACTCCGATTACAATTCTGACTGAGAAACAAACAGACCCTTAAAAAATTTAAAACCAACCACTGTTTAGTTTTCCAAATCCAAGTTGCAGCTGCTTGGGTTGGGTCCAATGATGAAAACTCTTTGAGGAGTTGTTTTAATTTTGAGACCATTCATTAATACTACAAGGCTCGCTCATTGGTGGGTTGTCAATGAATTGGACCACGACAGTCCAAAACAACTCAAACTCAACAAAAAGTCTTGTACCAATTAAATGCGATGGATGGGGGCAGTCAATCCTCTTCAGTCCTGTTTTTTTTTTTTTTTCAAATGTTGTATTAAAAAGTTGGACAGTTGCTTAAATGAGAGAACATGGTTCAAACTATCTGTTTTTTTTTTTCCTATTCTTTTTGAATATTCACTATAAGGAATTAAGGAATGTGGTTGTTTCCCAAGCTTTATATCTTTCTAGGGAGCCATGTCTTGAAATAGGCTGACACATGAAATTGATATTGTATGACATTCATTTGCAATCCAATGTGCTGTTTGATTGATTTTTTTTTTTACATATTTCTGTATAGATTTTAAGGTTTTTCTAACAATATCAGAGATACAATTTATTGTTGAAAATTTTTTCATTTTTATTTTTTCAAAGGATGGCAATTTTTTTTCTCATAATAAATCGTACATTTTATCTTTTTTATTTGGGAGAAGGTCAATAGGTCATCCCATCCGTCTAAAATCAATTGTTGGATCACGGATTAATCGATTTTAGACTGGTGGGATGACCTTCTTTCAATCATGAAGTTTTGCTCTTAGTGAAATTAAATATTTTTTTTATTGAAAATAGAAAAACATTCAAATTTGACAAGTATAGATTGATCCAGTGTTGCATGGACATGTCTACCTAAAAGTATATACTAGAATAATTCATATCTTTTTTTTTTGAATTCTAAAATTATATATTAATAAAAAAACTTATGATGTTTAATATAAAAAATGGATTTATATTGTAGATTAAATGTTCCTTTTAAGGCCTGTTTGTTACCTACCGTTCCTACCTTAAACAGGAAAAGAAACCAAGTAATTTTTCCTTAGAGGATTACTAAAAAGTATCCACCAAAACACAATCGAAACAGTTTTGAATTAGGGGTGCAAGTAAGGCCGGGTTGACGTCAACCCTAAGCCAATCCGAGTGTTGAACCACCAACTTTAATCTTAATCCAACCCTAAAACTAACAGTTGGGTTAAGATCAGGTTGGGTTTGGGTTGATCTGTTTCTCTATTTCTTTTCGTCAAATGTATTTATTTCCTAGATTCTAGGGGTTAATTTTAATTCAATATTAGCATTATTATATATGAAAGAACATAGTTATCATGTTTAAAAAAATTATTCACACTTAGAATTTTTGAGAAACAATATACTTGCAAGTTGCAACAAAAATACATAAATATACAGATATATACATTTATAAATGTATAGTTGTAGGGGTGCTCACGGTTAACCAAACTGTGAGGCTTTTTGTTGGACCGAATTGGTATTACTAGTTTTTGGAAAACCGGTAATTGAAATAGAATCGAAATTAGTCGGTTAACCAGTTGACTGATTTGATTAATCATCAGTTTTTTAATTTTTATAATATATATTATAAAAATATATATAAGTATATAATAAAAACTATAAATATATATAAAATATTATATTTTAATTAATAAATAATATATCATATATTATAAATATATATTTATATATAATGCATATTTATTAATTTATATATATATATATAATATGTAAAATATATAATATACATAAATATATATAAAATATATAAAAATATATGTATACCGGTTGGTTCGGTTAACTGTCGGTTTTCTATATTGGTTAACCAAAACCGAACCACTACCTTCGGTTTTTTAAAAACACCGAACCAAAACTAAACTGTTCAGTTAACCGATTTTTTGATTTGGTTTCGATCAGTTTTTTCGATCGATTCAGTTTTTCGATTTTTTTGCTCACCCCTACATAGTTGCATATGTATATATTCATAAATGGCCGAGGCCTCAAGGCCCTCAATCCCAACCCGATCCAAGATTTGTTTTTCCTCCATAATTCAAAGCTAATTTGAATTCATACTTTTCAACCCTAACCCTAACGGCTGAACTTCAACCCAACCCTAGTTTTTCGGGATGGGTTCGGGCTAACCCAGCCCAATTTGCAGGCCTAGTCTTGATGCGTCTGGTTTGTGTTTTTCTCCAGTACCTACTTCCCAGTTCGTATAATCATGACCCACTGGATACGGACTTCGGACTATGGAGGGCCCGGTACTGTTGCTCCGTGACCAAACAGCCCCAGACGCCAAATTTAGAAGAAAGTGTGGTGGTTTGTAATGAGAAAACTCTTTTTGGTTCTAGTTACCGGCATTTTACCGGTATAACCGGGAGATTCAAAGAGCCAAGGATAATAGCCGGTAGCCAAAAGACACAACACCGTTAATGTTCCCTAACCACCACATTGCCTGACGTTGCTAAATCTCCACCCAACAGAGTTTCCTGGGCCCATCTTGGGCCGTCCGATCATTTGACTCTGACTTATTTCACTTCAGTTCTCACGATACGGTAACAGAGAGGCATGGTTAAAAGTAAAAAGGTAAAAACGGATCTGCACTCATTAATTTTTACCCTTTTACGGTTTTACTTTTACCTCGATCTAAATCACTCAATTACATAGACTCAAAACTAAAAATGTTAGAAAAAAAGTACAATTTCAGATGATAATTCGGTGAATATTCTTCCGAGTTTTAGCTTCTGCTTTTCAATTCTTTAATTGCACTTGAAAAATTAATTGTTTTAATTCTTTTTCTGGTTTAATCTGGAATCTTTAATCCAATCTGCAACTTTCAGAGCTCTTCAGCTTAATTTCTATGGATTATTTTCATATTAAGCTTGAATTTTTGGGTTTTATTCATGTACGTTTGGCAATGGAACTAAGCAACTCCTTAATTCTGGTAAGAACTTGTCTGATTTTGAGGATTACGATTAACGACTCGTTTTCTTCTGGTCAGAAGAGAGTCGGGTGTAAACAGACAACATTCTGCCTTTCAACTGCCGTTTTTTTCTTTTCTGAGTGTTACTACGTTCTAGTGGTGCCAGCTTTCCAGCAAGCAGCAAATTCCTTCATTTTCTAGGGTTTCGAATTCATTCCCCGTTAGGATTATTGTTTTAAGGGTTTCAATTAATCTTGATTTGTTCATCTGTTATTCATTTCCTTTATTTTTTCTTTTTCTTTAGACGAACTGCGAATCTCAACAAGAGATCAGGCAAATCTCCAAGAACTATAATCGCAGATCTGCAATTTTGTCGAGTTGAAATTCCGAAAAAGAGTGGGAGGAGACAACAGTCGTTCCATCCCTTTCTGCAAATTTTCCCCTCCTGCCTTTTCTCTCTCCTTTCTCCATCTCCGATTCCGTGCGATTCGTTTCGGCTCTCCCCAATAAAGCTACTACTGCTACAGTGCTACTCTCTCTCTCTCATGTTTCACTATAATGCGCTGCTTCCCACGCGTACATTAGCATCCATTGCGCATGTTAATTTCCCTGTTTTCAATAAAAACTAAAAATAAACATTATCTGGAACTGGAAGGATTGCCGGAAAGTTTCAGCAACCTGTCGGTGGGGTTGCCCGAAAAAGGTGAAAAACAAACCCCAAAAAATAAGTATAAAAAATCAGAAAAAACCGAAACTGTTCCGGTTCTCATTTCTGTTGCTCTGTTGCTCTGTTGCTGTTATAATTATTTTCCTTTTTTCCCCGCCTCTGTTGCTGTAGAGCGAAAATATTAGAAAATAAAAAAGCTACAGAAGGGCCAACGAAGCTTCTCTTGTATACATTAAACAAAACCCAGTTCATTTAAAGGTCTCTCAGAGCTTTCTCTCCGCTCGTCTCTGGTTTCAAATAAGCTTCTCTTTCTCTCTACTCTTCTTCTTGCTCATACCCTTTTCATGCTTTCTGGTTTTTCTGGGTTGCCTTTGCTGTTCAACTTTAATGTCTAGGCCCTTAGAACATGATTACATAGGCTTGTCAGAGGTTTCTTCAATGGAAAGCTCTGAGAAGATTTCTTCTGCCTCCTCTACTGTTTCCACTGAGGAGGAGAAGAGCAATGCTCTTAACCTCAAGGAGACTGAACTGAGGCTTGGCTTGCCTGGTTCTGAATCTCCTGAGAGGAAGTCTGGAGCTGGGGTCGGAGTTTCCCTTCTGGGGAGGACAGTGGAGGATAAGAACGGCTACTCACTTGGCGTGCTCAAGAATTTTGTTTCTGGGGCTAAGAGGGGTTTCTCTGATGCTATTGATGTTTCTGGGAAATGGGTTTTCTCTGGGAATGGTGGATCTGAGGTTGACATGGGGAAGGGAGCCGTCTTGTTCTCCCCGAGAGGTGTAAATGGTGTCAAGTCTCTTGGCGTTTTGGAGAACGCTAACCAGCAGCCTGGTTCGGCTGCTCCTGCGCTGAAAGATGTTGTTCCACCTTCGCCCAAACCGGTGCAGGACAAGAAACCCCAGATGCCTGCTGCAAATGACCATGTCGCTCCTGCTGCTAAGTATCTCTCTCTCTCTCTCTCTCTCTCTCTCTCTCTTTCTCTCTCTCTCTCTCTCTCCTCCTTTTTATTTCCATGAACTCTTACACTGTGGAAGGGGGGAGAAACTGATGTTCTTGTTCATTTTCTTTCGGCTATCTGCTAAGTTTTTGATATCGCAACCTCATATAAGAATACAAAGTTGCTCATTTCTTCTCTTTCTAATTTATCCTATTGTGGTTCTCTGTCTCTGTCTCCTTCCTTACTGCTGATTTTTGTGGGCTTTCAATCTCTTTGTTAACAGCAATACATTGCTCGATGCGTTTGTTATACATCTTGCGTGCTTAATTATCGTCTTTTCTATATACTCCACTTTACAGATTATGTCTTTGTTTTTATTTTTTCATGTTTTGATTTGATCTAATTCGCCAAATCGTCTGGACTGACAATGGTTTGCCTGTATTATTCTTTATGGGAGAGTGGTTGCATGAAATATCTAAAATTTTGCAATATTTTGATCGTTCATGCCTCTATCTTCCTAGCCTGGTTTTATGAACTAGAAAGATCTCTTATTTCCTGTTTCTGTTTAAGCAAATTTGTAAGCGAAAAGGAGAGTTGATATTGGTTATCTTGCAGAGAAGAACGGATAATTAAATTTGTTTTGTTTTTCTTTGAATAGGGCTCAGGTTGTAGGATGGCCACCAATTCGATCTTTCCGGAAAAATACCATGGCTGTAAACCCAGCAAAGAACAATGATGATGATGAAGGAAAGTCGGGATCTGCATGTCTCTATGTTAAGGTTAGCATGGATGGTGCTCCATACCTGAGGAAGGTCGATCTCAAAACCTATGGCAGCTATAAAGAACTTTCAGCAGCGCTTGAGAAGATGTTCAGCTGCTTTACCATTGGTAATTCACCCTCTCCACATTTATTGCCTAGACCTGAAAAATGTTTTTTCTTGAGGCAAAAATTATGCAGATGCTTGGCTTTCCAATGTAATTCTGTGAACGCAATTTAACTTTAGAACAGAGGAAAATATACCTTTAATGCAGAAGAGACGGATCCCTTCTGCAAGCCTTTGTCTTAATCCTCTGATTGTAATCACAATGTTTGTGAAGTTGATCATGTGGAGATGCATGTTACTCTGTAAATTTTTGTCTTATATCCTCTGATTATAATCACAATCTTCGTGAAATTGAAGATCATGCAAAGATTAATGCCTCTTCCAAGTTATGATGCATTGATGCCTGCCTTTCTTTCTCATATAATTCGAAAAGGGTGTTCATTCATGTAATTATGTTTTTCAATTACTTTTTCAGGGCAGTGTGGTTCTCATGGAGTCCCAGGTCGTGATGGGCTGAGTGAGAGTCGATTGATGGATCTTCTCCATGGTTCTGAATATGTGCTAACTTATGAGGACAAGGATGGTGATTGGATGCTTGTTGGTGATGTTCCTTGGGAGTAAGTACAAAACCCATCTTGCTATACATTTCTAATACTAATAGTAAGACGGATCAAATTGTCCCATACCCAAACCACTCCATCTGAATATTTGTACTATTTGTTGGGTAGAATTCTTCAAAAGAGGCTGGTCTTATTTGATGCAATTATTTAATGGAAATGCATGAAGCGATCTATAACATAAAAAAGAAACAAAATTATTAACTCTGTCATGATTTAGGAAAGAAATGTTACTAATAAACTTGTTGAGAATCTTGCAACCTGGGATTAACTTGTATGATTTGAAGGAAAAAAAAAAGAAAAGGTGTAAAAAAGAAAAAGAAGATTAATGAAAAGGAAGAAAAATGTCTATTAAAAAAAGGAAGAAATAAATGTCAGTATTCTTTATGGTTATCTAAGATCATCTCAACTGCACCTTGACTTGGTAATCTAATAATTTCTGTGACATGCATAGTCACCTTGATCGGAATCTTACTATCACTTGTATTCAATGTTACTATTTCATGGTCTTTAATTAATTACAATATGAAATTTTATGTGGCTATTTTTATTTCTAAAAACAGTCTCTTGTTGTGTTTGATCATTTGGTGAGCAACCAGATCAATAGCTATTATTATTTGGCCTCTTTTCCCTATTCTGTTTGTGATGTTATTCTGTCTCTTTTATTTACATTGAAAGCTCAGTTACATCCATTAATTTTCTTTTGTTGTTTTTACTGCAGGATGTTTACTGACTCTTGCCGGAGGCTGAGGATTATGAAAGGTTCAGAGGCAATTGGCCTAGGTACTTACAGATACCTGGAACTTTCCTTCATATTCTTTCTACTCATCAGTTACTCAAATCCTCCTACATCCAAAATGCCTTCACCCTAAAAATTATTTTTGGAGCTGGGCCAAAAATCAGTTACACCCAACACCTAATTCAAACTGAGATGAAAAGTAAAAAGAAAGGGAAAAAGAGAAAGGTGAAAAGAAAAGGACTGCCTTGATTGCCCTTGAACTTTAACATGCGCAAAGGTTCCTTCTTCCAAGCGGACATGAACTGATGTGATGTTTCCTGTACCCATTTGCAATTCATTTGCAATTTTGTGACCAACCAACACTTACCATTAAAATGATGCCCATTGTCTTTAGGAGGCATCATTGTGCTTTTGCTAATTGGATGGCCATGTATTTTCCTCGTGATAGTATGTAGGTAGGCAAAATACATGATTATAATCAGCCCAAGCAAAGTGAATGAATACTATAATCAGGAATTCAATCAGACGCCAGTTTGCTGGTTGTCTGGTTGATTGCCGAGAGTCTGTTGTCTGGTCACCTCTTTTCGGCTTCTTTTTTCTTCATCAAGCCCTTAACTAAGTGATATTTGTTTCTATCGTAAACTTGTCATTACATTTATGTACTCCTGCATGCACATTACAACTTCTTTGGTTTGCTTGGTTGCAGCTCCAAGGGCCATGGAGAAGTGCAAGAATCGGAACTAGCAACACTGCTGTAACCACTGCCGGCAGATTGATGTTGCAACAAGTGAAGCCGAAGGCGATTTGAAGTGTTATTTTAGATTGAATACCTGAAAAGCCTTAAGAGGGTTTTAAAGTTGGTTACTGTGTTTCCTAATCCTATATTTTCTATGTATCTTGAGGTTTGATGTCTTTCATGGACTGGAAAAAAAAAAGAAAGACTTGTAGGCAGAAGGTATCAACCCTAGAGACAGATCCTGCAGGCTACGTAGATATGTGGTTTTTGTTCTGTATCTATATTTTGATTGTTTGCCTTCTCTCATTCTACGTATGTAAATGGTTTGTTTACTGTTTGCTAATTGGGCCTGTCTCTGCTCATTCATTTTTTACTTTGGAAATCTGAGATTCAAAAGAAAGTTTACTTGTCGCATTAGTTTGGAGATATTGAATGAAGATGGTCCTGTCCAGAGTCCAGCATGTTGTTGGGTATTAACTATTGAGATCAAGTAATTTCATTACAACAAAGAAAAACTGTTTCTCATCCCAGAAATTCCCTCTGCGTTGTCATTCCCTATTGTCAAAGCTCACGGGCAGACAAATGTCACAGAGGAAACTGAAAAAGGATCATCATCTAAAGAGAAGCCTCCAAACAAGGCAGAATCCACCGGGTTCTCCCTAGTTGGGTCCGTCCAGGTCTGTTTTGGTCGAACCATTTTCTTTGCAAGCATGTAGATTAGTAGACATTGCTGTGTAGCAGTGTAGAGTGTAGGTATGAACTAGGAAGTAGGATTGTAGGAAGGAATTTTTGTTTTCTAGGTAGAACTTTTGGCAGTGGGAACGAGCCGCCCAGGAAACGCATCAGCACGTCTAGCTATGCTAAGTTCTAAGCTAAGAGCATCCAATCCATGTTATATTGTTGTATTTGTCTGGATGTGAAAAAGAGCTCAATAATTAAATGAATTAAATGGTTTGTCCCATCGTTCCACTACAAGTAAAGGAACAGAAAAACAAAAGCCAAAGAAGAAAAAGAAAGGGAACATACAGGACCAGAGCTGTGGCTGTCCCCTCTCTGTTCCTCAAAAATCGGCTTTTAGGGAGTTCTGGTTCAATAAACAAATTAAGGGTTCTACATTTCCACCTTTCTTTTGCTCAGAAAGCTATATAATTGAACTCTGTCTGCTTTATTGAACCCCTTGGGTGGTTAATGGAGGATTTGAATTCTGTAACTTGGATGATTATCAGCTTCATTGTTAAATGTTAACGAGATTTTCTTTGTTGGAGATAAAAAAGATTCCTTCTTTTCAAATTTACTATGTCAGTCCAAATCTTAGGTGGTTGGGCATGTGAAAAAAGCTTCCCTATGGTCACATTAAAAATAACCCTCCATGGATAAGTTGGAATTTGTATTGGATTTCTTTGTCGTGACTCTTATCAGGGTAATATTCTCCCTCTAAAGCTCTAACAATCTAGTCCCTATCACCAAGAAAAAATATGAACAGAAAATCTGCTGTTGCCCTAAAAACTGAATACAATAGAAAGAAATTCATCCTCCATTTCATAAAAGACAAAAAGGTTCTTTATATTATATGGTAGAAATTTGAATGGTGATTGCTTCCCCACAAATCCTGAGATTTGCTCTTTCAATATTCTTAAAGAAAAAGAAAGTTAAGAAGCAATAATCTCAATTCTGTAATTGTAATCAAAACAATAACAAAGGAAGCGAAATAAAACAGAGAGTCCAAGGGTTCTAATGAGCTTCTGCCCAACCATAGCTTAATTTAACTAGGAAATTCTGGCTCACCAAATCACTGTACCTTAAGGCTTAGTTTGGAAAGAGTACAAATACAAATATGTAGTGTAAAAACATACAAAATACAATATTTTGCACTCTACATATTTGTATTTGTATTCTTACCAAATTGAGCCTAAGGCTATATTTTAGTTTGATATAAATTCCTTAGACTTGATTTTTGCAGTTCAAAATCATTTGTACTGGTGTAAAAATGTGGGAGGAGCACATATGATTTGAATGCAAATTCTCTTTTATTTTTTGTTTCAGTCTATCCCTTGTTTGCACTGTGGATGAAGTAAAACAAAATTTGAAGTGAGGCAAAACTTGAAGCACAAGTAAATCAGAATTTGCTTGTTTCTCATTTATACTCATGCATTTGCATTAGTGCAAATGAAAATGCACTGCAAACAAACGGAACCTTTTAATCTCAGTTTGGGAATGAGGATATTTGTATTTGGATTCTCCTCAAACTGAACCTTGAAAAGAGTACAAATACAAATATATATAGTACAAATACATACAAAATATAAAGTTTTGCACTCTACAAATTTGTATTTGTACTCCTTCCAAACTGAGTTTTAGGCTGTGTTTGGTTGCAAAGCGCAAACAAATTTGTACTAACGCAAAACTATGGCAGTGCAAATGATTTGAGTATAAATTCTGACATATTTCTCTTTCAAATTTTAACTTATTTTGTTTGATTGCATTACAAATGAAATAAATTAAGACATGAAGCAGAATAAAGTAAAACCCAAAACAAATTTAGACCAGAATTTGCATTTTTTTTTTTTCATTTGCACTTTCCTGCATTTGTACTAGTGCAAATAAAATTGCACTGCAACCAAACACAGCCTTAAGAGTTTTTCATGAATTGTTCTATTTTTCACTTATTTTCTATCAAACCAAACACAACCTAGGTAAATCTTTCATTCACGTGTCCTTTACCACTAGAAATTAAATGATTCCCAGCTTGAGAGAAAACATGTTTATGGCGGCAAATCTTGCTAAATTTGTGTATTATATAAACATATATGCAACACAAATTTATATAAACCCCATTATTATATTTACTATTATAATCATAGATGTGTCAAGGGACATCTCGACTAACACTTAGCTGGAGAGAACTAATCAACTCAAGATTAAGGAATCTGTCTAACTTAATTATTTTATATTAAGAATTAAAACATCTGATTTCTGGTAAAATAACATATAAAAAATAACTTGTAATCAATATGCACAAGCAGCCAAAATGGGCTTAATAAGGGACTGGCTGAAAAATGAATGCTTTATTGATTTGTCTTTTGGTATAGGGAAAATTCCCTATTAGTATTACTTTGTACTTTAGGTTCAGTGCTACTTTGGTCCTAAATTTTAAAACCCGACAATTTAGTATCCAAACTTTTAAAATGTATCAATTTAGTACCTACTGCTGTTAATCAACTATTAAGTGGCATTTGAAAAAACATAAATGCCTTTTGAGTGTCATCTAATTCTCTTTATCAATCATCCAAACGTTGACACAAAATAAACAGTCTCAAATCCTTGCCTCTTCTATTCAAGAAAGTTGGGGTCACCAGAATGTCCACTAAGATGTAACCCCAACTTTCTTGAATAGAAGAGGCAAAGATTTGAGACTGTTCATTTTTTGTCAACCTTTGGATGATTGATAAAAAGAATTAGATGACACTCAAAAGACATTAATGTCTTTTCAAATGTCTTTTGAAAATTATCACATTTTGAAAATTCAGGTATATGTATTGAATTATCACATTTTAAAGTTCAGGGATCAAAGGGGCAGTAGACCCAAAGTACAGGATACTAATTGAGAAATTTTCCTTTATTATATAATTATTTTATTCATTATAAGAAAAAGCAATAAGTCATTCAGTTCATCCCCTTCAGCCTTATTCAAAAGGCTTCCTACTTTGTTTTGTTTAATTGATTTGATAAATAGAGCTTATTCAGGTGGCAAGTAATTAATTGCTCCCCCTCTATTTTTCTAATCAGTTACGTTGTTCATATCTCAATCCCTACATCGCTGATGCTGTGTTCTTGTTTGAGTGGGCCTCATATGGGTATATAGCTATATACATACAAACACATGCATTGTAATTGATGCATGTTAGGCATGGTACATGCATGACTTCATTCACATGGGCATGCATGCATGATGCATGGTGCTTCATGTCTGGATACTTGGTATTGCTTCATTTAATACAAGCAACATGGACACATGTACCTAAAATGTCCATGTATATGTATATATAATGAACATGCATTTATGTTTATGATGTCATGGCGTTGGGAAGAGAGAAGTATTTATGAGTCTGTATGGATAACATTGTCACAGAAATGGAGGAGACATAGCTCGTGAATGCAGCAGGTTGGTTGGTTTGGGCCATTTCTTTTTTCGTAAAGATGATGGTGGTTAGGAGACAGCCATTGTTTGCATGCATGAAGATGGAATGAACGTGTGCATGAAAAAAAAGGTATTCATGTATCTCGTACTCATGTCAGCAATAAATAATTTAATATTCACGTATTTCCATAGTAATATGAAATTCATTAAAATTAATTTTTTGAATTTTGTTATTAGTCCCACATAGTTTCCAATTTAATTAATTTTTGTTAAAAAATTCATTCGTTTGGCTATGGACCTCAGAAGCTTATGGAAATTAGAAGAACCTCAGAAGCTTTATATTATGAAGCAATGAATTTGTGGGAAGAGACGAACTCAATTAATTACTCATTTGGATTTGTTTGGTGTGTAATTAAGTTAAGAAGGGAAGAGAAGAAAAAGAGAAGAGACAAAAGGAGTTCATGCTTCAGAGAAGGAGCTAGAGAAAGAGAGAGAGAGAGAGAGGAATGGGATAGGGCGTGAGGTAGATGGATTCCGATGCTTTGTGTCGGGAGAATATATATAATAGGATTAGATTAACTATTAATAAAACAAATAGATACTATAAAGGAGATAAACCAACCATTCACTGATTTGAATCATCAGAAACGAAAATCAGTATCAGTTTCACATGTAAAGGTATATTGGCAATGAAAGCTACATTACGAAGGGGAATGGGTTCTCATCTTATAGTTCTGATAGTAATCAGAGAACCAATTTCGTCTGTAAATGAAATTACAACTCTTGTCCAATCTTAACCCAGGACTGATTAAAACCTCTGATTAGTTCTTTAATGGCATACTTTGATTGGTTGCTGGTTGGTCTAGCTAGCCTCTACGAATAACAACAGTTTGGATCTTAACCAACCCAGCAAGCAATTAAGCAATTAAATGTGTACGTTAAGTGGGAAAGTAATAAAGCAAAAACGTGTTTGTGTGATATTAATGGGCCACGTAGGTTGTTACACGCTTTCTTGGCTTGGTTTTGAAGGGAGAAGGAAGGAAAAAGAAGCATCAACAGCTAGCGGCTGTCTGCAATAGCTGCCTGATTATCAGAAGGGTATAACGACAGCTGCAAGCTGAAAATGACTCCGAAACAGGTTTGAGGAGGGAAAGGATTTTGGTCGTTTTGTAACAGAAACTGAAAACAACAGTGGCAGAGGAGGCGGATGAGAGTGGATTTCAATTCTCTGAGAGTGGCAGCTGCTTTAATTTGTAACGAAAGCTGCTGCCTGTTTTAATTTATACATGTTTGGCCACGGCTAGCTTTTCATTTCGT